GTCGTGAGGAGACGCGGGGCGGGCCCGCGGCCGTTCCCGGCAAGCGGGGAGCCAGCCGCCGCCGTGGCTGCGGGAGGCGCCTCCCCCCGGGGAAGCGGAACTGGGCCGCGGAGGAGGAAGGGCTCCGGCCGGCGGCTCCGGTGGGGCTGTGGCAGCCCTCCGGAGCAGCGGAAGGAGCTCGCGGTTTGGCAGCCTGCTGTTTGCGAGCACTGCTACTCGTGTCGCCAAAACCCGCGCTCTGCCCTGGCCTCTTCGTTACGTTTGTATCCGCGAAGGCCTCGACCGGCACTGGTGGCCCGGCAGGCCAAGGGTGCCTCTGGGGTTTAGGGGATGCTCATAGAGTATTTGAACATTGGGGTTCGCTTGTGTAGACTTTGAACGCAATTATCTGAGAAGACGAAGTGAGGCACTGTCCAAAGAGACAGACTAGCTGGGAAATACACTGAGACAATGACAGTTTTCTGTTTGCCTCGGGTGTTTCAGGTGTTATGCACGAGGGCCTTGGACCTCTTCATGGAAGATGCAGTTTTGCGTCGCCAAAACGGGCATGTGTGTCTCTATACTTGGGTTGTCTCGATCTCAACTAAAAAAATAAAAGCTGATAACTTTTAAAATATTTTACATCAATACAAAAAAAGGAGGAACTTATCCTGTAATCTTTGCTTAACTGGAGATGACATTCTGTAGTAAAGCTACCAACACATCTGCTGCAGCATAGTAATGCCTGCAGAAAAGGTTGTCTTTCCTTTTGGAGTTATTGGAGTCTGCACGTAGGTCAGCTCAGCGTGTGTTTTCTAATCCCGTTGTTATTTAGCTCCCCAGCTGGCCCATAACTTGTTGCAGGGTGTGACGTAAAAGCAAGCATGCTGCTCTCCGTTTGAACCAACATAGTGATGAAGGGAAGTCAGGAATAGTGGTCTCCTCTGTGCATTCTTTAGCAAGAATTCATTACTTCTGGCTACCATTGGGAATATAATCCGTAGTTGTTTCTGTGGAAAACCTCTAACAAGTTTAGCACATAGCAAAGTTACTTGTTAGTAATAACTAAAATTTTCAGAAATACTGAAAGTATTCAGAATGTTACCACTGCAAATAAAGTTGCTTTAATGTAGTTGCTTTTATTAAAAAGAAGTGAGTGGGGTTTGATTAAGTCTAAACACCATTTAACAACCAGCACAAGCTAGAATCCTATAGAAAAAATAATGTACTTTTTTTAGCAGCCACTTTATTTGTATAAGTTAATGTAAAAAAATTGCAGCATATTAATGACATCAAGAGCATATCCAAATGCTGGAAATAAGGGGACACACTTGAAAATTATAGTTTTGCTAATACCTTTTTTTTTTTTTTTTTAATTTTCTTTGCCAACATAGGGCATTTAAAACACCAACACAGACTTTATCCCAGTGTGAAAGCTCCCATTCATTTCAGTTAGAAATTGGAATCTGCGACTTACTACATGTTGAAACCAATTAGATAATAATTTCTAACTCAGGCTTTATAAAAGGTTGCAATTTGATACATCTAGCCTACAGTTAAATGGATTAATCAGGTTATAAACAGCAGCATTCAGGAGGGGCAGGACAGTGGACCCGGGAAGCCTTTGGGAATATGCAAAATACCCTCTTCGTCTACTGGCCCATGTCAGGTGGTGACATTATTTCTGGTGGGAGTGCTGTACTTACATTTTTGTTAACCTGAAACAACCCTCATGTTTCTTACATTTGATTGTACAGAGCTGCTAAGAATTCTAGAAGGATCTGGGTATTTTCACCTCCCTTAGGTAAAAATTGAGTGTTCAGCCCTTCTGGTGGGGGCTTAGCACCTTGCAAGACCCTTGCAGTGAGGGGGAGGCAATTCCTTGCTACCAGTCCCTCCTGCACAAGGCAGGATGCAGTCTAGCCTAATATTTGTTGATCCATAATAGTCTGCATAAGTGCTGTTTAGCAAAAACTTAGTGTGTTTTTCTATGGATAAACCATCCCTGTCGATGCAAATATTTGCTGTTGCAAACTGTTACTGCACATGCAACTGTGGGAGGTTGCCTGGTTTGCTGCTGATTAGATTTGTACAGTGAGTGACAGCCTTGGACAAAATCCAAATCATACGTTAATATTAATATTAATTAAACCAATGTAAGTTAATGCAGAATAAACAGTAATCAGCAGCTAACTCAACAACTATAGTAAGCTGTCCACTCTAGCCACAGGATTTTTTGTTAGAAGATGCCTGATAGACGCTTCACATTACATGTTGTTTAGAGAAAGGGAACATAATCATCGCCAAGTTATTCCTACATCAAGGAAAAATGCAGAAAAGTTATGGGCTTGAAAGTGCTCGAAAAAAATTTAAGGAAGGCTTTTAATATTTTTTATAACAGGAAAGGAGAGGCTGTCACTGGACAAGGTCTGAAAAAAAATCTTCTGAATGCTACTTTAAATAAGCAGAACCATCTAGCAGCACGGTATTTTTTTATGAAACGGTAACTAAAGGATGTTAATAACTATATAACCCATACATTGGGTGCATTCACTTATTTTTATTAATTGAACGTACCTTGTATTCTATGCCTCATTTATTACATTCTGTGTCATATTTGCTGTGACTGCCGGGGAAGGGTTACGATAAAGTCAGAGGCAATGAAGATGGGTGCTCATCTAACAGGTGCTCCACTCCCTTTGTTCTTTGTATACACATATTCAAATCACATAAGGCAGGGGACAGGATAGGGCCTGTTAATTCATTGCTGATTTCCCTAGCAAATAAACCAGCAGCTGCAGGTCCAAGCCCTGGCTTAGCACCGAGAAGAAGGTGGGATTTGTGTGGGACAGGATGCTTTCATGGAGCCCTTTAGCCAACTTCTTTTGGGACTTACAGTGCAAAATATATTTTCTGCTTGTGGGTAAGAAACAGTTATGAATTATATTTGATTGTCATTGTGGAAATGTGAATCGGTTTTATACTTCTAAATTTAAAGATATTTCTATTGTACTGTCAGATGTTTTATTTTAAGAAGGTAGCCTAAAAGCTTTTAATCAGACAGCGTCACCCTGTTTTATGAGTGGAGCTAGAAACTTTTTAGCAACTGACAAAAATTAGCACTATACATAATCTGTAAATAAAACGTGGGCATTGATTATATATATTGTCACATTTTATTAAGTAATACATACATTGTGCGTTCTTTTTACCAAGTAAGGCAGGACAGATTCTGAACCAAAGTTTATACAGAAGCTGTTACACATCTCCTTAAAAATGCATTATGTTGAGACAGTGCTGGTACATTATTTTTCAATTCATTATGATGCCTTACAGTTAACAGGGAAAATTTATATGTAATATTTAAATGCACTTGGTATTAAAACTAAATTAAGCTTTCAATCAACTGAAGAATGTGTTCCCATTAATAGTACATTTGTTTGGTATCTGGGTGCAGTTTTTGTAAGTATACATTTATTATCCATGCAGTTGATAAAAAATAGATTTTCTAGGCACTTTAACAGGAATATCATGTGATCAAATGTTAGATAAACTTCTACAAACTCTTGTAGTTCACTTTTTCTGTATTTAATTGTTTTTGTAAATATCAACAGAGGGAATATATACTATTACAAATGTAGTGCATCCTCTACTCATTCATGTGTAAGGACAATTTTTCTTTCATCATCTTTGTGAGCTTCATCTACCATCAGCTAGTTTCCTTGATTTCAAGCTAAATACTTTGCCAAGAGTTTGGCTTCGTAACAATTGCAGTTTTATATGAAGTTCATCAGATTTCTTCTTTAAAAATGAAAACAGTGTTTGATAACAAAATGCAGTGAATATTCACTTTAACTACATTACAACTTTGTTTGACATTTTTTATTAAAATTCTACAAGAGATACTGGTATGCAAGCAGAGTGCTTTATTGTACACAGTTGTTCACCAGGAAGTCTCATCATATACTCTTACTCAGAGATACATGTTTCCTAGTATGGGAAATGCGCAGCTTGTACTTTATATCACGACAAGAATCGGGTGCATTGGGGGCATGACACAAAGCCCACAGAAGATACTGACTGCAGAGGCAAGAATTAGGTCAAATAACAAAGCTCAGTGGAACTTGTTCTTCAGCAAAAATCCCAAGGTGGGGAAGAGTATGCCTGAGTCCCTGCTGCTATAACTGCGGGTATAGGAATTGCATATTTCCTGGTCCATTATATCTCTTTTTTTCATAAATGAACGTATTTCCAAAAAGTGTGAAAACTATTGCCACTGATCTAATGACATTTTACTCCAAGTTCAGGGTTTTTGGAGAGCAGAAGAGCTAAATAAACGTTCTGGTGAAAAGCAGTTGAGAATCCAAACTCACTTTGACAGGGAGATGTGCATGTTAAATTCAGAGAACAACAAAACCTCGCTAAGCGGGTTTCAGTTTGTGCCTTAAACTCAAAAGTTATGTCATAGTTTTTTATTTAAACTAAAGCTGCAGCTTTTGTTTTATGTCAACAACAATTCTGTTGTGCTTGCTAATACTGGTGATAGCAAAGTGAGATGGAAGCAAAGCACAGATCACTGAGCCCCAAATGGAGGTCATTTTGGTACAACCCACTTGCCTTATGGTTATTACACAAAAACTAGTTTTTGGAATTCCATTGTCTTGGAAAAATGGGTATTGTATGTAGAAAGCTATAGAGATAGGCTTAAATTATATGGAATTTGTGCCCCATGAGGATGAAGTAAGAGTTTGGCACATTGGCTTAATTTCACTATTTACATTAATTCAAGGATTAGTCATTAACAGTCTTCAGTTTTAACTAAAAATCAAAACTTATGAAATTACTATTCCAGACTGCAAAAGATTAGATCTCTGTTAAAGCTAGAAGTCTCTCAGCCTTGCTCCTGTAAAACTTAGCCTTCCAACAGAGCGCCATTGTCTCGTAACAGCTTCCCTGAGCCTCGGCCTGCTTTGCCTCTGGCCCTGCCAGCTACGGGGGAGCTCCTGCATGTGGATGGCACTCCGTGAAATCACCTCGGCAGAGCAGCAAAGCCTGCACTCACCCAAAGCCGCTCCCGAACAGACTCCAGGGGAAAACGGAGTTTCTTCCCTGACCACCGCTGGTCTTTCTTTGCTAAAAGAATTTCCTTAACTGCAGATCAAAATCTCCTTCCAAGCGGTTACATAGAGCCACTTTTCCCCATGAATCAAGTGGAACCAAGTTAATTTACGGTTTCTTTTCCCATCTCTTTTAACTGAGAAGAAATTAAGTTTTCCAGCCACAATTATCTTACTCTGTTACGGTGATACCTTCTGTACTGGTCACCCTAGTTTTCCTTGTGCTCACTAGACCTGCTTGGTTTTTGCTAATTTTCTGCACAAATGGATCTGTGAGAAATATTATTTGTTATACATATTTTATGATTACTCTGCAGCTGTTACTAGCTTCTTGTCCTGCAGCACAATTGCTTATTGACAGCTAGATAAACCCAAAAATCAAGCAATGATGTCATGCGTAAAGAATCAGGAAGGATATGGACAGATCTTTTAATTGATCATTTACAGATCTCCCAGTGTCTGAGAGATGGTTTTGACTTAATTCAAGGAGATTTAAAAATTGAAATGTACTTGGTGGGTTATGTGAAATATATTTCCAACATTAAATATTTTGTGAAGGATTTTACTGAGGAATTGCGCTCTTTTTTTCAAATGGACGACACCAGTTTAAATCTGATTTGCATTTTAAGGTTTGCAGGGGGGAGTTCGCCTCTGAGAAATGTTACAAAACCCAAAAAACTGATCTCCCATTAACCAGAGTCTAGCAAGTCCCTAAGAGTTGTGCAGCATTAGAAAACAGTGGAAGAACACCAGGCCAAAAATATTATTAAAGAGGGGTAGGGGAGGAGGCTTCAGTTTGGTGTGCTTCAGCTGTTTCAGGGTTTTGATCTAGAAAAAGTTAAGCAAGTAAACATCTCTCTCCTGGGCATCCTCCACTTAAGTCTCTCCATATTTTTTCTACACTCTTCCTCCCTTTTTGTCCCATTCTTCTCCCATCTCAGCTGACTCCCGACCGTCCTTTCCACATCAGTGCCCATGCAACCTGAAATCCTCCGCTCGCTTCTTCTTTAGCCCCTGAGAAGGTAGGTTCACCAGTCTTTCTGTCAAGGGATTTCACTGTCTTTATACACATCACCCCTATAGTGTTCCGCCATGTTTTCCTCTGGTTTTCCTGTCATACCCACAGAGACACCAGGAACTGACTTCTGTAGTTGAGTATAGTATTGCTCAGCTATATGAAAAGTGAATCCAGCAACAAAATTACTTTTTTGGAGGTAGACTTTGTAGCTGGATTTGTATTGACTGTAAAGCTGACTAGAATGGACAGAATATGACTGGAGATTTCTTAGCAATAGGGTTTTTTTCCTGAAATAAAGTTAGTATCTCTGATGTGGTTTTGTGCAGCACCTTCAGCAGCATGGACAACATTGCTGGCTACCCACAAGCCAGTCCCCTTCCATGGCATCTCTGCTCTGCTACTTTTCATGCCCTTCCAGAGTACCTCTGACATCAATTACTGGCATTACATATTGTCATGCTACATCAGTGACCCCCACCCCCTTTTCGTGTCCCTACCCTGATCCCCAGCGACAGTTTTCTTTGCTTTTAGCTCAAGTGGCAAACAGCTGTGCAGTGAAATGGGAAGATTCTAACCCAAAGGACATATACAGATACCATATTATGCTACTGAATTGACATTTTTATCCTTTCCTGCTATATAACCTAGGAAATCGGACACAAATGAACCTTTAACGATTTCTTTTTGTTATAAAGACAAATGGCATGAAGGTAGGAAATGCAAAAAACAAAGTTGTCTCTGCATTATATTAATCTTTAATAGCACAGTCATATTTTTCACACATATCTTCCTCTGCCTCCCTTTCCAGGTAAAGGGTATATGTACTTCAGCAGGAGAGTTACTTTTTTGTTACAGGTATTGGAAAGCATGTCAAGAAGGTGTTCGGCAGGAGGAAAGGAATAGGTGGTGCATGGTGAAAGCATTGCACATTGCCCTGGGTGGTGGGTGCATTCTCTCTCTCTCAGTTTCCAGTGCGCTCCTATGCAGTGGTAGATGGATTATTTAAATAATTTTTTTTACATCATTACTAATAAGAGGTTGCTTTTTTCCCAGGGTTTTGACTTAGCACTTGGCAGTGTGTTTTTCAGCAATACTGAGCACTCAAAGCTGAGCACTGAAACCTGCAACTGAAGTCATTAGGAGTTGCATCTTGAACATACTAAAATCTGTTTGTGTGTATTTTGAAAAATCCAGTCCTTAATAGTTCAAATTGATCATCCAAAATGAGTGGCTATTTTTGCTGTTAATTTTCTATGTGCATAAATTCCTCATCTGTAAAGTCTGATCAATTATAATGGTGGTGTGAAAACAATAATGGTGGTGTGAAATCAATTCATTAATGTAAACACTTCACACCATTGCTGTACTTGTGAGTGTTGTGGAAATTGATCACTCAGTCCTAAGAGTAAAGTTTTAATAATGTTCTATAAATCTGTCTAAAGCTGACACAATTAAAAATTACTCATTAAAATGAACACAGCAACGCTGATGATTAACTCGGGAGTGGCCTTCATTGCACCTCTGAGGGAGGCAGGATTCTCGGAGAACAGGATTCATCATGTGACTGAAAATTTTTCTTTCGTGCATATCAACAGCAAACCTTAATTCTGCTCTTTCCTAAAATTGTAATACTTCACTTTTGCCAGCTTAGTAATGTTTCTTGAATTTAGTCTTATGTGTACAGTGCAGACAGTAATAACAAGTATCCATCATTTTAATCAGGCAAATTCATGGAAGTACTGCTTGTTAGATTTTCAGTCAGTTTCTCAGTATAACTGGCAAAGTAACAGTAAGAAATTTCTCCCTAGCTAAACTCAGAAAAAAAAAAATCTTAAAAAACTGAGTTTCCAATCCAAGACTGTTAGACAATATAAGCTCTAGAAATTGGAATTATTTTAAAGGGAAAATACTTTAAACATTGAGGTAAATGCAAACTTTTGACCTTATGTCAGACTTTCAACAATAAAAGATCCTCTGCACAGAAATAGCAAATATCCTTTCTTTGGCTTTTCATATATTTTAGAGCTGGAGCTCTATAGCTAGATGCAACATCACTGAGGTCAATAAGAGTTTGCCCCTTTCTGAAATCTTACTGAAATCTTACACCAAAAAAAGTGTAAGCTTTAACTCTGAGAGTTTTTTCTCTGTGACAATTTCTCATTTGAGTTTTCTAGTGTTTCCATTTGTGGTTTGGGTTTGTTTATTTTTTTGTTCTTTCATTTTTATGCAGGTATTTGTTCCGCCTTAAAGTTGACAGTGCCATCTCATACTATCCATGGTATTGCAGGGCAACCACTCCATCTTACTGTTGACTACAATTTCAATGCTACAGCTTCTGAAATCCAGATAATTTGGCTTTTTGAGAGGCCTCACAGTAATCCAAAATACTTGCTTGGCTCTGTAAATCAAACAGTAGTTCCAGACTTGGAATATCAACACAAGTTTACCCTCATGCCACCTAATGCATCTTTGATGATCAATCCATTGCATATCAGTGATGAGGGCAATTATATTGTAAAAGTCAATGTCCGTGGAAACAGGACAATAGCTGCCAGTCAAAAGATTCAAGTAGCTGTTGATGGTAAGTTAGTAAAATATAGTATCTTCATTTTGAAACTAAAATTGCAATAGTTTTGAAGTACTAGTTCTTAGTATCCAGTTACAATAGTGTACAATGTAATCCAACCATACCTGAATAAATACTAACAAGTTATGTTGTTTTCCACTGCTGCTGCAGGGAATCCTACAATATGTCATCTTGAAACAAAATTAATATATTGACTAAAGTTTCTGGATCATAAGTAAAAAATGAAGGAGTATAGAAACCAATAATTAATACTAAATTAGACAAACTTCTAAGAATTACTGTTCATAAGGCTCTGCTGTGCTATCAATCATGACGATGCATTAACTTTCAAATAGTCATTCTCCCTGAACAATTTTACTTTCTGTAACTATTGAAGAGCAGTCATTGACTTTTGCCGGTGACCTTGTGTCTGTAAAAGAAACCCAGATCTGAATTCCTAAAATACTGAAGTTCCCTCTTTGTACTCTGCTCCTTGTTGTGGGGATATTAAAAAAAAAAGGGGGGGGGGGGATAGAAAAAATGATCTAAAAGAATGATAAGAGGGTACTGTAATTTATGGATTATAGAGAACGAGCCCTGTAACTGTTGGGCTTGAAATAATTAAATGAATGACATATTGACGTGACAAAGTTGAGGCTGCCATTTAACTCCCATACTTGTCCCAGTTTGCAGCCATCCTCAGGACCGGATCGACAGCGTATTTCAGCCGTGCCCACTGCCAGCAAAGCTGCAGGCAGCCATGCTGAGGAAGTTGCACGCAGTGGGCAATGTCATGCTTTGCACTCTTTTCGTTTCTGTGGCCTCAGGGATCTGCTTACGAGGCAGGAACTGGAGGCCATGGTATACCTGGCTGCAGCCTTTGTTGTATTACCAGTAATATCAACAGTCAAGTTTTATTTAAGTACTAGAACAATTCTTACAGTCACCAGCTGAGAATATGGCCTTCTTTTTTCAACATTTAACCACATTTAATAAATAAATTGGAAATCTGAGTACTTTCCAGAGAGGATGGTGACTCCTATTTGTATCATCTTGGCAGTGAAGACTGTAATATACTGGCTCATCACTTTTATAACTCTTCTTATCTTTTTATTTTACAGTTCCTGTCACAAAGCCAATTGTACATAGTGAACCATCTTCAGGAGTAGTGGAGTATGTAGGGAATATTACATTAAAATGTACTGTGGAAAAAGGTACAAGGGTAATTTACCAGTGGATGAAAAATGGGAAGCCTCTCCATGCCAGCCCTAATTACACCTTTTCATCAAACAATGCAACAGTTCTAATTGTTCCTGTTGTAAAAGAAGACATTGGGAACTACAGCTGTCTGGTATCTAACCCTGTCAGTGCACTGGAAAGTGAGATAATTGCACCAACCATATATTGTGAGTATATAAAATATTCATAATTACCTTTATATAAATGATCTGGCTGGAAAGAGTGCCTCTAACTATGGAAACAGGCAGAAAACAGTTGAGTCAACATTATATGTGAGCTGGCATTCGAAATGAGCTTGTTTGTATACAGCTCTAACATAGAACAGTGTAATAAGAAGTTACTCAGTGTTACACAGTTGTGGATGAGTCTGAACTGCAGAACTCCAATAGGAACTTCAAGAATTCCAAAGTACAGGCATATTTAGATCTGGAGAAGATGTGACTCAAAGGAAAAAAATATTCAGATGGGTATACATGAAAATATTGTTGAAAATGGAGACAGCAAACAGTGTCAAAAAGCTAAGTACAGAAAGTACCAGGCTGAAGGACTGGTGTTAGTTGTTTTCCTCAAGATCATTTCGAGTCCAGTCCTGTTTAATACTTCCATTAATGACTTCAGCATAAAGATTGGGAGTATGTCACTGAAGTTCACCTGTGACATTAAACTGAGAGGACTGAATGACTGACAGAGTAATAGAACTGGTATGAAAGTTGCTGGTAAACAATAAATGGGCATGCACTTTTAGAGAATAAAAACCATGAACTGCTGATAAGATGGAGATTGGTTGGGAAATAACTGAAGCAGTGAGCCTGGGTGACTGAGCTATCGCAAGATGTCTGTAAACTGGAAGTGTGATTCAGGCATGAGAAAGACATAGGTAATTCTAGGGTGTGTTGGCAAAGTATTTCCATCAAGGAAATAAGGGGAATACTAATGGCACACAGAAGATGAGACCACATGTAGAATACTGTGTGCAGTTCCTGCACATCCCAGAGTAATGATCTTGAACTCAAAAGAAACAGAACAGAAAGGAATGGAGAAGACACCTCAGTCTGGTTTAGCAGAAACAGAGCTGAAAGGAGTCTTTGCTTTCCACATCAAGTGGGAAACATGAGGGAACGAGAAGAGTTGCTTAAAGACCAACTTTGACAGAAGAATAGACTATAAGCTAGCCATATATTTTGACTGGAAACAATAGCAGAGGGAAACTTAACTGTGAGCATAGATTGAATTCATGAACAAAATGAGTTGGAGAGAACAAAAGATTGGTTTAGTCAACATTCAACAACGATACTTTAAATCTTAGGAAGGGCACTCCCATTTTGTTCCTTATCCCTCCTGTAATGTCAGCTCCTAGTGCCTCCCAAGTTTTGCAAGTAGCACATGCTACATATGTGACCTTGCCAGGCTCTGATCCTCATGTCTTCAGGGGTCGAAGTGTCCTTTTCAGATGAGAGCTGAAATCAGACAGGTCAGGATATACTTGCCACCAGTCCTGTCCAGATATAACCAGTTGTTGTGGTTTAACCCCATCCGGCAACTAAGCACCAGGCAGCTGCTCACTCACTTCCCCCCACCCAGTGGGATGGGGAAGAGAATCGGGGGGGGGGGGGAAGTAAAACTCGTGGGTTGAGATAAAGACAGTTTAATAGGAAAGAAAGGAGGAAAATAATAATGACAATGATAATAATTTTTTAAAATGACAATAATAATAAAAAAAGGATTGGAATATACAAAACAAAAGTGATGCACAATGCAATTGCTCACCACTTGCCAGCTGATGCCCAGTTAGTTCCCAAGCAGCAATCCACGCCCCCGCCCCGGCCAACTCCCCTCAGTTTATATACTGGACATGACATCCCATGGTATGGAATACCCCTTTGGCCAGTTTGGGTCAGCTGTCCTGGCTGTGTCCCCTCCCAACTTCTTGTGCGCCTCCAGCCTTCTTGCTGGCTGGGCATTAGAAGCTGAAAAATCCTTGACTTAATATAAACACTACGTGGCAACAACTGAAAACATCAGTGTGTTATCAACATTATTTTCATAGTAAATCCAAAACATAACACTATACCAGCTACCAGAAAGAAAATTAACTCTATCCAAGCCGAAACCAGGACACCAGTCTACCCAATGGCACAGTGCAGATGGCACAGTGCAGATGGCACAGTGCAAGGGCTGGAACTGGATTCCTGTCCAGCCAAGGGCTGGTGCTCCCTCTTGCTTTTGCCAGGCTCTGTAATCTGGCAGCCAGTAGACAGCCCATGCCCCAGACCTGGTATGATTGCACTACCAGTATATTCAGAACCTGTAACCCTTACTGTGTCATATTTTCCTCCTCCTTTCACCTCTGATTATCCATTCTGCTACTTATTTATTTTTAATTATTAACTTGGAAGAATTGGATAAGGGGGTGTCTTGCATCTAAAGTGTGTGTGTCTCTACACTGCAGCAGGAGAAGAGAAAAAGACTGCCTAAATTAGCAAAGACTAACAAGGACACTGTTAGATGAGAGCTGATCCCTTAGGTGCAGCTTATAAAATTGACAGCAATGCAGATATGAAGATGAAGGATCGTCTGCAAACAGTCCTAAACAGGGCAGATGTGACTTGAGCTTCCATCACATTAAACAGAGGAATCATGACAATATGCTCTACAAGGAAGTAGCCAGCACCGATGGAGTTTTAACTTGTCATTACTGTAACAAAAACATAATCATCATATTCTTTCCTCAAGGTAGCACATTTTTAAATGCCTGCTTTTGTACAATCACAACCTCAGCTCACTTAAGTGCTTAAGTGCTAAGAATGAGAGCTGCATGTATACGACTGCATTGCCTCTACTGCTTTTCTCACTTTAATAAGCTATGAATGGGCCTTATACACCTCTCTCTTCAAACAATACCTATACAAAACTTGGGGACACTGTATCCAGCACAACCTGACAGCCTTCTTACAATGCAATAAAATCAGGTCAGGCTAGAAAAATATCTGCCACTCTTGCTACCTTTCAGACTGCTCTTTTTGTTTGTGGCACAGCGCATTCGGCATTCTCATTTCTGACCTGTTGCACACAGGATTGGCTCCAGAGCACTTATCGCACTGGAGGGTGTCTGGGTCACTTGTGCTGAATGAAGGTGTGTGCCCCTTCAGTCTCGGTTATGGTACGGCTTCCTCTTTTCTCCCTCATTCAACAAATTTGTTCAGCAAATTTGAAAAACCTTTCCAAGTTCTAAGCTGAAAACCTATTTTTTACCCATTGTTTAGCAGAACTTTAAAATCTTAAAGTTACTTCAGTGTCCACATTTCTGGAAGCTTTTGCTGTTTGAGTGATTGTGATATACAGCTCAAAAGATCAAACTTTGAGATTCAGTTTTTCTCCACATGTGGAAATATTATTATAAGTATTTGCATTTTCAGAATGTACTTTTTATTTCATCAGAACTGAGGGTTTGCTTTGTGCATAATTTAAAATTTGAAAAAATACTAAGAGAAAACAATGCAATGCTGAAAGACTGCCATACTTGCGCTACTATCCATATCCAAGTTAGTGATGAGAGCTCGGGTCTTACTTGCTGAGCCATACGAGGTCGTGTAATTTGGTCCAACCTCTGCCTGCAGAGGTAGTTTGTCTCCCAGCTCCCAGTTGTCAATAACAATCCAGAACAGGTCCCGGGATCTCTATGTGCCATATGTCATTGCTGCGGGGGAGTTACTGGAGGTGATAAAGAAAAGGTCACTCACAGTAAATACCTGCCATCTGCTTGGAAACTGTAATAGTCTCGTGGTGATAGGAGAAATTGGAAATATTCCCACAAAGCAGTAAATTGTTACTCAGAACGGATGATTTATTATTTTACAAGTCATTTAGTTAACTGGCTTTACTGAGACAAGAGGGAGGTTTCTGTTGAGAACAATACCGGAAAGGAGAAATAGAGCTGAGGGATCCATGAAGGCTGTCACTGTGGTTTTTTACTGAGAATCAAAAGTGTTTTGTTCTTCATTTCTCATTAATATTATTCTGCTTCTCCATTAGCTGCGATGATCATGTACCCCGGAACATGGCTTTTGCAGTAGCATGACCCAGAAACAAATTCTTTCAAGACTGGAAGAAGCTGCTGTCATGGAGGCTGCAGCAGAAAACTGTCATACTGTGCTGACAGAGTTGAATTTAACAGACTAAGTGGGATTCCTTCCTTGGGACTTCCCAAAGCTAGAATATCTTTAGTCCTAGAGAGGAAATGGTTAATTACCTGCATTTCAGAATCATCCTTGAAGCGGTGTATATCCCTCAGCTACCCAGTGTTTAGGGATCTCGATGATGTACACAGTACACAGGAGAGGCAAAAGACCAATCCACACGAAGCAAAAGGGTTACCCGCTGCTCGTGTTGACTTCATCAGGGAATGCCACTTTTCGGACCTTGCCAAGATTTGACTATGTCTTAAGAAAACCTTTCTTTGTTTTTTTCAAACATAGTTCCCCAGCCAGTGTGTGTCTGTTTTTATAATGGTTTCTTTCAATTTGCAGGTTTCATACAAAAGTGTAGTTATGTTGTTAGTGTTATCTGTCTACGCTGCGCTGTTCTGATACTGATAAAAAAGCAGAACTCAGTTCTGATTCTTTTGCAGACTGTGGCAAATCTCCCAGTCTAGTGAGGGGGCACAGAGACCAGTCAGCTATTCTTACCATTAATCTCTGTTTACATACATCAAATGTTATATTATCAATGAAAATAAAAGCTAATTCTTCTAAGATAGAAGAATTGGATAGGAGGAACCACTGAATTGCTCTGAAAAGTAAAAAAGTGCATTCCTGCCTATAAATAGTGTGTGAGGGGTTTTACTTTCATTTATGAAAAAGTCAAAGTTCAGTACATCCCAGTCCTTTCCCATCTGAAAAAAGGGAAGTAAATACCTATAAGAGGCGAGCCCCCGTAAGAGGCTGGTGTTCTGGGAGCGCTCCCTGTCCACAGAAACGTGCAGCCCGCGTGAGGACAGCCAAGCCAAAGCAGTGGTGATAGATCTGCAGTTCCCAGAAATGCTCATTACAGGGTCAGCTGGCTCTTGGATACAGTAAAGCAAATGACTCGGGAACTGCAGAGCCTGTGAAGAAGCAGCCCAGCATCTAGAGTTTAAAAAATGCCTTGATTTTTCAGTGGCCCCTGTGGTGTAGGTGGGAGCAACGCTAATTCATGCTGAAGTGAATCAGTATTGCATTTCCCAAGCAAATATTATGCATGATGTTGGGCCTTCCTGGAAATGAGACTGCAAAAAGCTTACTGCTAAGAAAGAAGTAGAGAAAATAAAAAGGTTGGCAAGTTTACATTGTGAAATATGGACATTTGTTTAAAAATGGACTGAACTGAGGTCATGGCGTGATGGTGTACATTCTCTTGTCTAAGCCTTCACAAATAGGGAAGAAAACCCTGTTTTGTGCTGCGTGCTGTTTGCCTATGTGTTCCTGAAGAATAAATCAGTCTCATAAAAAAAGACAGGCAATAAACAGAAGTGTGCATGTTAGAGGAAGTTCTGGTGCCAGTGTGCCACTTCATGTAGCAGGGAATTTCACATTCAAACCCAGCTACATTATCTTAATGCTTCCAGACAACCATAGGAAGGTGGAAATATTACTTATTCCACTGTCTACAATGGGCATAATATTCCTTATCTGTCTTTTTGCTGTGCCATTCTGTGTCAGGCACTTGTCAGCAGCTTTACTGAACTTCAGGGATCCCACCAAAAAGATGTTCTGCATATTTTCTCCTTTTGGCTTCTGTCAATATTAGGTCTATGCATTTTTGATTACGTATGTAAGCCCTTAGGAAATTAGCAACATTAAAATGATTAGTTCTTTTGACTGGAAAAAGTCATTTAATAAGGCACATTTTGATTATTATATTCTCTACATTAATTTCTATACTTAGATCCCTGTAAAAAGTAGATTTTAACATGCAAAGATACAAAAACCCCATGATATGAAATGATCAATTAAAAATAGCATGGGAAATATCTTATTTAAATATCTAGTTTCCCTTCCCATTTTCCCATGAAGATTACCCTAAAAATACTTAGCTGCTCAATTTTCTGAATAATAAACCTATGACTATTGGACAATATATGCCTCTTCTAATTATATTCAGAAACACAGCTTGCTTTCAGCAGAAGGGCTTATTCCTGAAAGAAACATAAATATTGAAATAATAGAAGCCTACTAAAGTGGGAGGAAGGTTAAAGTTTATTTTAGCATTTATTTATGGAAAACTTTTTCTGAAGTTATCTAAGGCACACCCCACTCTATATTATGCCTCTAGGATAGTTCCCCAAACAATTATTATACTGCAAAGTATTACAGTGAATGTTTATATATTTCAAGGCTAATTTGTTTACTTTTAAATGTGCAGAGAAATTACTTATGACAATAAGTTTGGCATTTAAGTAGAAAGGGTCAAATATGCCCCTGAAGAAGACCTGCTGCTTTACTTCACAGTTTTCCCAACTGTTTTCAGTTTTCGTTCTTTTTATCGTACTGAACAATGCATAGACCTGTGCTTTTTCCCTAAACAGAGATTAGATCAGTATTAAGTGGGTGTAGTCTGAGATAAACCTAATACAGGTCAAGTTATTGAACTGAAAGCCTTTTAATTAAAATGATTGGATGCAATGCCAGCTGTTCTAAAGACTAGTCTAACTTAAAAATTCTAAGTTTAGAGATATGCTTCTATTTAAAGTTTAATTATATACTTTAATTTTAATTTTTCCACTGTGTTTTCTTTTTTTTTTTCAATGCAGATGGACCTTATGGACTTCGAGTTAAATCAGATAAAGGTCTGAATATAGGGGCAGTGTTCACAGTGGACATGGGGGAAGTTATACTGTTTGACTGCTCAGCAGATTCAAATCCACCAAATACTTATTTGTGGATTCAAAGGGCTGACAATACCACTCATGTAATCAAATATGGACCCCATCTGGAAGTTGTATCTGAAAAAGTGGCCCAGAAGACAATAGATTACATGTGCTGTGCTTTTAACAATGTGACTGGAAAACGAGATGAAACTCACTTCACTGTCGTCGTTACTTCTGTAGGTAAGAACATTAATTCACTGCTGTAACTGTACCGTCTCAGCAGAGTGCCAACCCCAGAAGAAGGAAATCATTCTTAGAGAGAGTATGTATCAGAAGTGAGGTCTTGCTAACAATGTAGTAAAGGGATTTTGGCCATTCAGTGGGATCTGGGTTTTACTCGCAGTGTGACGTGGCTTGGCAGAAGACCCACTAAGATGCTGAAGTTTTGTGGGCGTTTGACTCTAAAATATGTTTGGCCGTTTGGAACTTTATCCCCTGTGTAGAAAAGCTTCCTCAGTAGGCAAACGTCATCATGACCAAGTAACATGGCAAAATTATATGTCTCTTACTCTGTTTCTTACTTTTTGCCTTTAAAAATGATAAAGATGAATGAAGAGAGTGATGTGGAAATCTGCTGAATGCCAAGGTGGGTCTTTCCTCCCAAGGGCAGATTTTTTCCAAGGCTCACTGTCCCACAGTTTTCAGGAGCTGTGAGCCCTGGGGCCACCAGGCGACCAGTGCATGGGAGAGTTTCAAGCATACATCACTGACCAAAATAACCAGGCACAGACTCACAGCAACGAAGGTCTTTAATATTTTTCCAGTGTGGTTAGCTGTTATAAGAACCTTAGTTCAGTGTATGATAATAATGCAAGCTGTGATGATGAATGGTTTTATTACAATCTGTTCATAAAAATGATTTCACTGGCATACTTATGAATCTATGGATTGACTGCTAAGTTCTGCTGAACACACACCTTTATTTCCCATACATTATAACCTCAGTTCCTGTATCAGATTGTGTTGAACAGCAACAAAGCTGTTTTTTCAGAAAATCTCCAGAAACATACAGCAAAGAACAAGATATTGAGGAAGTCTGATATGTCTTATTAATACAAATCTATACAAGTATTTTCAGATAAGGAATGTATGCTATTAATGTTCAACAAGATAGAATAGATTGCCTTTTAGAAAACTTAACAAAGCAATTTCACTTGTACAGACAAAGAGCTCAGGCATTTGTTAGTCAGGTAAGCAAGGAGAGCAGATGTCCATCATTCAGGCTGACTTACAGATTCATCACAAATCCATGGCTTTCAGTATGCTGGAAAGAAGATGCGTTGAAATTTTACCATGAGAATACTGCACTTTAAGACTAAACATTGTGGTTAGTGGCGAAAGAAAATGCAACCAGAGCTATGTGTCAGTAGAAATAAACATGATATTTCTCCAGGAAGTTCGTGTAAGCTATGTTATATATCTGAACATTCATCAGTAAGTGTTAAGAAATTCAGCTGACATTTCCTTTCAAAGGCCGAAAAGAAGGGAAAACTCCACAGCTTCGTGTTTAGTTGCACTTAAAATCATACATTTCCTAATTACAAATATTTTGCCTAAATGAATATTTTTAAAACATTTTATCCTGTGTATTCAAAAATTTTAAAATATCAGTTTCCCCCTCTATAGCCCTTTTCTTCTTGATGAGTATTTATTCAGATAGCACTAAATCTAGATGTCAGGCCTACACTTTACAATGCAGCACTGATTGAATCTAAGAGGTATGAATTCACACATGAGGCTAAACCTCAGAAATCCTACTCAGGCTAAATTCTGGTTGCAACTGATTAAACACACTAAGGAAAGACTATGAATATTATTCCATATCCCCTCCCCCTGCCCCCATAATCCTAGATACAGGGCCTGGACTGTGCCTCTCAAAATACTGGAAACCCCATTTTCAGCAGCGACAGGGACTCTGTTGTTTCAAAAGACCTTACACAACTTCCTCACCTAAGGGACTGAAACTCACCTATATGGTGCTATAAACAGCTGCCTAATTAGTGCTAAAAATCATCAAGAAAACAATTAAATCAATAAGTTACAATTATATCAATGATTGCACTAAGCTGTTACCCAGTTTTAGCCAAGACTAGTTAGATTTTAAAATAGAGGAAGTGGTATCTCGTTATGTACACAAGTCATTGCTCGGTTCTCGAGTCAACTTAAGTGTGTTAAATGCACACAAAGAGCACATCTTTGTTTTCTACACTGGTATGCATGTGGAGAAAAGATTTATTGAGTCTAAATTTGAAAGTATTCATTTTAAAGAACATTTTTAAGGACTCAGCTGATTCTCCAGCATTTGGGTTTTTTTCTGAGGAAGGCAGTACATTGCAGGAGTATGAAAGAAATTTGGTGAAATTGCAGTGACTTATTTTCCTGTATCTTTGGGATGCATCTGGTTTGAAATGTACATATATAATCTTTGTGATAACCACTGCACACGCAGCCAGCAAAATGCCAGTGAATTACACGGAGGTGTAAGTAGATGTAAGCAATGCTAGCTGTCTGTACAGGAGTTCATTGAAGTACTGGAAACACATCCAGCTAAATAATACACATTTGAATTGTATTAATAAAGCTGGAACTGACAAATATGAAGCATTAATTTACTGTATGGATTGTGATATGACCCTTAATTACATGAAGTCTGCATGATTCAAAGCAGGAGGAGGAAATTAAGGGTGCACAAGCAACTATGTCTTGCTTTTCTTAACTTTCATATTCCTCTCTTTGCAAATTCTATGCAAATGTTTTCCACGTGATTTTGTGTATGTTATTATATACATATTGTAATTGTGTTGTGTCAGTAAATCCTGCTGGAGAACTGCTGCTAATGCGTATCTCACCAAAAGATCTGAGCAAAGGAAAGAAATACTTCGGATATATTTAGACGTGACTACAAACAAACATAATTTATTGGCTTCTGATGGGATTTGATAGACAACCAGACTGTCAGTGACCTGAAAATCTTTAGAAAAAATAACAATAGTTCAGTTATCCCCTCCTACTCTACAGCTCCTATAGCTAGGATTTTCCTCCCTTCTAGCACAAACTGCTCACCTAATTGTCACCTAATTTCATGGTAGTTTGGTGTCTCTCTGCCTAAAATTAGAATATTCATCTACTTTTTGTGATGCTGTAATTTGTGGATTACGTTTACTGACCTTCATTTAGCTCTAGGTACCAATCTGTTCTGGACTGCATATCATTCCTTTCCCAGTTCAGGAGGTTTGTGGGGGGAAAAAAATATTATCCATTCACATGAACCCAAATTTTGTATGTATTTTGTATCTCTGTGCAGGATGACTAGCTTCAGATGACTTCAAAAGATGCATTTTTCAGTGTCATTGTAGCAGATTGTACAGAACAAGAGACTAAATACAGTACTCACCTTCTTTGTCACAGGACTGGAAAAGCTGGCCCAGAAAGGAAAATCTTTGTCATCTCTTGCAGTAATAACTGGAATTTCATTATTTTTGATCCTAGCTATGGCCTTTTTATTCATATGGAAAAGATATCAGCCACATAAAGGTATGTAAAAGTTAAGCATGCTCCAGCTCTTCTTTTGGACCATCAGAACAAAAAGAATGATTTTTCTTTTTTTCTTCTTTTCAGTGATACGACAGAAGCTGCAGAGCAGGTACAAAAATAAATCATTCCTAGGTCTGGAAGTCCTCTCCATCAAGAGAATTGCATTTTATCATATTAATTTTCTTTCCTTGGCTTATGACATCAAACTGAAAAACATGTTTATGTTTTCTAGGCCAGAAGCTGATTACAGAAAGGCGCAGACATTTTCAGGTAATACTAATTAAAAGAAATGTAAGCATAAGGTCAAAATCCATTCCTGCAAAAAAATTAGCATCTGCACATACAAAAAGAAAGAAGGAAAGGAAGGGAAGTGTGCTTTTAACTTGGGTTGCACACCTCAATGTTAGCTTACTTAAGATAGAACCAAAATGAACACAGGTCAGCGTGGGTTTAGCTCATGCCTGGAGTTCGCAGCAGTATGTACCCTGTTGGTTTGAATTCTAGCTGTTAATCCCAGTATTCTGGGATTAGAATCACCTGTATTCCACTGTTCTTGCCAATATGAAATAAAATAGTGTTACTATGGGATAGTAGTAAGATGTGATACGCCATGGGAGGATCACAATTTTAAATGTTCATGGCACCAATTGATACCAAAATCATGAGATAATAACATGACATTACAGTATATATCTTTTAGCCTCTACCATATTCTATACTACCTTTCTCTGTGTCATCAGGACCCAGTGTGTTTTTTTCACTGCTTGTTTTCCCTCCACAATCCTTCCTACATGATCCTGGGCAGGAGAGGCTGGAGACCAGCCATCCTTTGGAAGGGTAGCACTTTTATTCCCATCCCTTTCTACCAAAGCATCAAAATAAGCAATAAACTGCTACATATGAGACAATAGGGAAGTACATGAAGCTTAGGAAGGTAAGAAATTCACTTGAGCACAGAGGATACTTCACCCCAACAAGTGGTATCGGAGGAGGGAATCTCAGCGCTGTCTTTAGTGCTGCAGCCTTTGCTGTGGAGTGATGCGCAAGAGACAACAAAGAGTCTCGGATCTCCTGGACAGTGGGAAGGTAGAGAAAGAGACTCCCACCCTAACTACAAGTTGTATCTCAAGTCCCAGATATAATTTGTCAACTGGTTTAATAATGTGGCACCTAGTAGTATCGTGTTCCCTTTTTTGATTCTCAGCATTATGAAAGATTCAGATGGTACCATCTCACTACAGTGTAGATGTGCTGAGCTTATGGATTGGGCCTCTTTTCAATGGGAAGTGAAAGTAAATCAGTCTGTTTAGTCGTCCAGCAAAGAAAATCCCAATGGCTCTACCAAAACTGTTACTGAGGTTAGCAAGAGGCTCCTCGCTTGGTACAAGCTGTTGGAGATAGCCATGACACTGTGCATGCTGGCTGTGCAGCTGCCCTGCCTCACTCCACACTGGCTTAGGAGCTTGGCAGGGAAGTGGTTTAAAGAAGATCAAACAACCAATTTTTAAATGTTTTAAAAATTAGGCCAAATTACTTTGCCAGTCATTATTTTCCAGGTTCATATTACATTTTGATACCTTTTTTCATGTTTGTTCTAACTTTAGGACATGAAAGTGCTTTGGATGACTTTGGGATATATGAATTTGTTGCTATTCCTGATCTTGCCAGTGGTTCTAGGGTATGTGACTTTACATCATAAACTGATGGTTTCTTTTCTATTTGTTAAGGTGTACTATATATCTGTACTAGAATCGTTCTGTCAGTTTGCTTCTGTTGCTTTTTACAGATGTCTATATGACATATTCATGTCTACTATTTACCCAGTACTTACACTTTCTTTACTGTGTTACTAGTTCAGTAGTTGTATCAACATGGTGCAGTAAGGAACTCACCAAGCTCTAAAGAGAACATTCTCAGTTCAACTACCCCATATTAAAAGAATATTAGTAGTGTTGGGTAGATGGGCAGCACTGAACCACTTGTGTCACACAAGCAAATTAACTATTGCGACACCATTTTCTACCTTGGACCTGTTCATGCAATATACAAGTTTGGCAGTGCAGAAAAGCCTCAAGGGGGTATTTAAAGTTTTCATTGTAAAAATATGAAAACTAAGTCTCAGCTATATTTCACAAGAATTATTTTGTTAGCCTCATGTATTGTGGGGGAGGAGTTAAGCACAGGAATTTTGCTAGCAGAAAAATTCCTACTACATATGTTACTTCTCTGCATTGTGGCTTTGCTGACATTACTGTATAGCAGTTGGAGATCATTCTGATGTTGCGTAAAAAGACAAAGAAAAAATGAGAAATAGGGCCACAAAATTTAAGGACAACAGACTGAAACTAGGAGGAAGTAGAAGCAGCACTTTCCCTTCGCTAGGGAAAATTTCTGGCAATACAATCTTGTACCTTTGGAGAGCATCAGTATGGTCATATAAGGGCGAACTCTTAAAACATGATCACACAGGGTCACACCAACAGTCACACCTATTTTGTTGTTATGATTAGTTCTCATAATACATGATGTATTAGCAAAACCCAGTCATACATTAATAAACCCTTTTCTCTGCTGGGATTAGATGATTGAAATAGACATTTCTAGGGCTAGAGTGCTATCATAAAGGTTAGTGGAGAGGACAGACTTTTACAGCAGCAGAGATAAAAGGCTTTTATAAAACAGAGGAGCCAAACTGTATCTGTGAAGGTTTGTGACTCTAGGAAGCTTATTAAATATGGAGATGAGGCCCTAAATCATCACAGCCTTAAGCACATTGTGACATCCCTCAGGCTGATCATATCACAAAGTCACATTCTTGCAGAATTGGGGCCTTAGTAAGTCAGGAGGGAGACAGAGGTGACAAGGACAACAGAATGGATGTACAAGCAATGAAATCTATTCTAATTTTCAGTAAAATTTCAAGAAACAGGGTAGACTCCACCGGTTTTTGTTCAGTTACTCAGATTTATGGCATTGCAGAAAAAGTCAGCATTTGATCCACTGATTCATTTTAGTTAGTTAGCAGAAAAAAGGAAAAATAAGAAAGTGCAGATAATGAAGGTTGGGTATAAGCAGAAAGACTGAGAATTCCTTACGGATGGGGACTGTAGGTGTTGTATTGACATAACAGCAGATTTGTATACTTGACATACTGAACAATTTCATTGTTACTTCATTTACGGAAATTCCTTGCAGTTCCCTCTCTTTGACATGCTGGTGGGAGTTTTATGCTGAACTCTTTCCCTGAATATTTTCTCCTCTTTTACTATCTATTCTCCTCCTTCTCTCTTTATTAAATGTTCGTTCCTTGACTTGTGGTACACTAATAGAAAATACGTGCTATATTAAATGCAAGAGCTGCATCCTAATTCTTCTAAGATCCTAACTGAATTTGAAACTACTGCTTGCCTTACTATAAATGTGATGAAAACTTACTGAAAATGAAATGCAAACTAATAGAGATGAACTGTTAAATACACATGCAAACCATTGGTAAGGAAAAGTTAAAAAAATGAGAATTTACCTTATCAGTTTAATTTCTGTTGAAACTTTTCCCTTTTGTACTTACAGTAGGAATACTCCTTGCCACTTTTAGGTTTCAAGCCAATCTACTCCTGGCTCTGACTTTGTCCCAGGCCAGGATATGCTTAGTACGGTTTATGAAGTTATTCAGCATATTCCTGAGCAGCCGCAACAAGACCATCAACAGTAAGTTAAAGCCCATGTGTGCTCATGTGGTAGCTCAAAGACAAATACTTTTGTACCCAGAACAATTGGTAGCTGGTGTTTGATTCTAGTGAAAAGGGTAAGGAAGGAAAACATGTATAAGCTACATTAGTTCCTCTACCGTTTCCTATCCAATCCCTCACTTTTCCTCAAGACTCCAGTCTGTTGTCTCATCATGCCAGTTTTGTCTAAGTGTGAAAAACAAAAGCTAAGATCTTCAAACACAATTTCAAATGAAAATTCCCAAATGTTTTAAGAGGATAGCTACAGTTTCATGGCACTGAGACATCAGCACTTCCTGCTAAGGAGGTTAAATCCTCAAAGCAGTTTAATCAGCAGCATGGCTTCCAGACCTGCCCACCATGTGCCAAGTAGAATTGGGGGGGGATCGGGGGGGGGGGCGGGGTGCAATGTTGAAACTGGTCAGCTGATCAATAACCAGTGTTTGTTAAAAAAGTCACTGAAATATTAACGAATGATGCTTAGTTACCTGAGTAAGCAATGCCTTAATTTGTATCTTAACTAATGGTTTAAAGCAAAAGAATTCTTTTGCAATTCTGCAGTACCCTGGCCGGGAACTCCACAAAAACACTTTTGCTGAGTTAAATACCAGAAAGACCACGGCACGCTGTGCTTATGCAGTTAGTGTCTGGTAGTCCTGGTTTTGTTCAAATCACCTACTTCATAGCACTTCTTGGCATAAGAAGAGTGAATACACTGTAAAGTTTTTGTAATTGTGGTATAGCTGCCATAAATCTGTTCTGAATATCAACAGTATTTCTTAAAAATTAAGAACAGCACACAAGACTTTATTTGGTACCAAGCCTACTATATCACATTTTTCATGTTTTTATGATATGTTCTTTTTCTTTTACGGTTCGAAAGGAAAATATGCACTCTTACCAACATACTAATCATTTGGATGAGTAATCACAATGTTTACGTGACTGCATTAGCATTCAGTACTTACACTATTAAAAATTTTGTGCAGGTTACATCTTCAACTGTGTGTCCAAATTATGTATGCAGACGTAACAAGCCATGCTTGTAAAAGCAAGCTGATCAGTGAGAAAGCAATAATGAATTACTAATGACATTTTTGTTCTGCTTGGAGTTACTCACTTTGAACATTAAGATGAATTTTTAAACCAGATGTAAAAAATAGCATTCATAAAGTACATCTTTTCTTATTCTTCCTCCTACATATCTTTCTTCTCAACTTTCTCACTGATACATGACCCCTCTAAAAAAGGAATAAACTCAAAGTATAGGTAACTTGAACTTTGTAACAGTTCAGATTTCAGCTCAAATTTTGCAAAACATATTCTGTAGTTGTAAAGGATTCATTTGCATAAACCCATTTTGCTGATCTTTTCATATATCAAGATTTTAAAAAAGAAACATAGGAACAAAATTTTCACTAATAAAATCTGCTCAACATGACAGTGGGTAAACTACTTAGATTAGAAAGAACACTTTCATGAATTTTCCAACTCCTGACCTGTGCGAAGGAGCACTCTGAGTGTGAGATAAATAAGGACAACTAAGCTGATACTGGCACTTGCAGCAGGATGCTTCAGCATTCAGTATAAGGAAAAAACAAAACACCACAGAACAGGGAATGGAGCTGGGAAAGTAATTCCAAACTCCTGTAGTGCAAAGTGATGATTGCTTATGGATGGATCCTATGGACTTGGTATGCAGCCATCTGTACAGTAATCGGCAATGTTCGTGGGAAAAATGATACAGAACTTGCCTGCACTCTGCTTACGGTGGGAATTTCTCTTTGTGCAAAACAAAAGAACGGATGCTATGGGAGCCAAACAGGTTTGTTGGTAAAGTGATCATTTTACTCTTCTTCCCAGTGGGTCTGACTGGAACTACTGTAATTTCATACATTTATTAGAATTAATGTGCAAAGAAAAATAAGTCAAGAACAGTGTTTCATTCTCAGATTTACAGTCTGAGAATCTTTCAAATCCTTTCTTTGAATCTAATATCTACAGTGTTAGCTGACGTTCTCTCTCTTGCTATTAGAAATCCCATTAGAAATCCCAGTGACAGTACCAGCAAATTCACAGACTAGCCAATGCCTAACACACTGGGAATAGCTGCTTCTTTCCACTTTTCCTTATGCTTTTATCAGCCTTTTTATCCATTCATCCACACATGCACATATGCATCTGATGCTCTATATAATTACGAAATTTTAGATGTGCCCCAGCTCTTAAAAAGTAAGAATACTGCTGGCAACTAATTAAACTCTTAAACTCTCTTGGGTTTGGACTGATGGACTCATAACCTAATTGCAGTCAAAAAATGAGCTGAGATGATAGCTGGCTTTGTACTTTTACATTCGCATGGTGATATTAGTCACTGTTCACAACAGTCTTTTGCAGATTTACCTCCCCTGCTTCTCCAAAGAATCAAAGGGAAAACGTGAAATAAGCTTTTGAGGAAACTGTTCTGCTCCATCTCTGGGCTCCACAGTCACAGGGTGTTATGTGACTGCCACATACTCACCTATTTCATTAAACACACTCTTTTAAGCCATTTCGGGGGGGGAGGGGTATGACCCTTGCACATTTTTTAAACTAAATATAAATCCTGTGACAAACTGGACTGTAGGCTCTTCCACATATGAAGGAAATCTGAAAATGGCTGCAAAAGCTAATGAGCAAGAAGTTTAGCCAACTTTTGTACATAAGCACTGACAGCTCATAGCTCTTCTGCAAGCAGAAACTGTTTGTAACTTAGGTTTCATTTTCACTTCAAATGAGAATAAATTTCTATCATCTCCCTCTCCCCTCATACACACTGTTTCTCTCAGATCAAGCATTAACCATTTAACAAATTTTGCTCTGCAAACTGCTGAAGAGCAATAAGGTTGCAAACTCTTGACAGGCATTTCAGCATGGGGTTTGTACTGCGGACTACACTGACTCAGTCTACTAGTACTGCTACCTTATTGCAGGTGCTCCTGTACATTATTGTTGATAATGTGTGAGCAACTTGAAATATCTGTACTGAAAAAGCAGCAATGTGAAGTGCTATATTAGCCATCATATTATTTATGGCTGAGACCTGTCTTATCTTTTCAAAACTAGAGATCTTATGCATACTGAAAATTCAGTCAAATATGAGTGCATTACAAATAAGCCCCCAGAGCTGTCATTCAGGCTGAAGAACTATTTTACTTTTGTGTTTAGAACTGCTGGTTTGTTTATATGTTTGCAACAGTGATTTTTAAAGAAAAGAAAGACAGCATTGTGGTCAACTGTTATCTGTCTATCAATCTCTCTATATATGTATGTTCTTTCCTAGATGTATATGAAGACATGGGAACAGGAAATCAAAGCACCTGAAAATACAAAACTTCTTTGACTTCTTTTTCTTTAATATATTTTGAAAGGAAATGCCAACAACTCCAAGAATGGCAAAGGCTTATGCCAGCATTTCTTGAAGTACCAATTTCTCTTCAGATTGACAATCCCTTTCCTTTGGGTGCTCCAAATTGCCCATTTTTAAATTTTTTTTTTTTTTTTGCTTCTTTTTAATTAATATTGTCTTGAAAAATATGGCGGGTTTTTTCATTCCTTACTTTTTTCATTTTTGTGACTACAAAAGACAAAGGGACAGCTTAAAAATTGCAGTATAAAACCTATATGTTTTATTACAGTAGTGGGTGGGAGGCACAGGGAGGAGTCAAGCCCAAGATGCCTCCCACGCTTGTTTTATTAAAAAAATGGCAAAAGAATGTGTATGGGAGTTTTTCATTGGGGTTGACTTTTACAAGAGAAGGTCTCCATATTGGCTTGGAAAGTAATAAATGCAATATGTCAGATTGCAAAATACATTTGGGGCTTAAAATGAAGTCATTCTTTTAACTCATTTAATGTAACATTTTCTTTTAATTTACAAACATAGAAACTGATCTGTCGGGCAGTTACAATTTTAAAATGTACATATGTATATTATTCAAAATAATGTGTTCTCATTAAATTCTGTTTCCTTTGCATTTGATCTGGTTTTCTATTTGCTGCTGAAAAGCCTGTTTCTCATTGACTAGAAGAGCAAGTAATATTCAAGTAATTTCTGCAAGCTGCCGAATGTTCAGGCTATTTATATATTAAAATTATAATTCTCTGGTGCAAATGAAACCAATCTTACTCTGTTTAAACAGACAGTGTGCTACAAGTCCCTTCACAAATAGAGGAATCCTCTTCCAGAAGTTCTGTTAGCAGGTGTCTGAATCCTGCAGGAAAATTCATTATTATTTCCACAGGGTCAGCTATTAGATGGTGTCAGTTAGCTGCAGCCAGGGAAAAAAGGAGTTATGAATTGAATTAGAATAATATACAGGAAAAAAAGGATACTTCAGTAACAGCTAAATGTGTGGAAATTCATTAGGGTAAGTAATGAGAAAGCATACAGTGTGTCCACCCTTTCAGATAGGCTAGATGGGATCATTTAAAACTCTCTATATTATGAAAAATAATTTGCACTTATTTAAAATACCTCCCTAATCAATGTTTACTAAACATTCTTCCCACCTCCTTCTTTCAAAGATGAGGAAAAATAACACTGTTTCCAATGAGTATTCTGATCTCATGATGCTGAAAAAAAAGGAAAAGGACAACTTCACCGTTGTGTGTGAGGACAAGAGGACTTGGCACTTCACAGAGGCAGCCTGGTGCTGCCCAGGTTCAAGAGAAGTACTGAAGTGATCTCAAAGATAAATGTAGTCACCAGATTTTCTCCCTAAGAAATAACCCTCTGACATGAAGGCATCAGGCAGAGGCTGTACGTACAAACTTCAGAACTCTGAAGTACTGAAGTTGTCCTGAAGGATCGAGAAGCTCAGGGGCCATCCCCACAAATTCCTCCATGGTTCATTGTCCTGGTTTCAGCTGGGATAAGGTTAATTGTCTTCCTAGTAGCTGGTACAGTGCTATGTTTTGAGTTCAGTATGCAAAGAATGTTGAT